AGACCATCGGAGCCGAGGAACCCGGGCAGGCAGCCACTGGAAGCGTGGGCTTAGCGACGCAGCGTGGCGCGGGCGGACGGGAAGCCTTGCGTGAGCCAGGAAAGGGGAAAAAAAAAGAAATCCCAGGGACAGCCGTGCCGGAGGTCCCGGGACGTTGCCCTCTGATGACGGAGCATCGGTCTCACACCCTGTAACTCAGACCGCGGGAGGGCTGGGAGGACGGCAGCTCCAGCCAGGCTCCCGACGCTGGCTCGCACAGAGACGGCAACCCACGGTTTTAGCCAAAGTGGCAGAAACTGGGAAAACTGGGAAACTGAGGTCTGAGAAAAGCTGGTGTGTTTACTTCTGGAAGACAATGGCCGAGGAGGGGCTGAACTCTAACGTCAGGACCCATCGTCTCCGCCAGGCCATCACCCATCCCGAGAGGCACCAGGGAAGGGCAAGTTTGGAGGATGCTGGCGGCACGGCCTGGGCGCTGAACAAGAAACGAAGGGGGAAAACCCCTCCAGCAAGCAAACCAAGCAGGAGCTTTTGTCAGGAGAGCAGATATCGGTATCGTAAGAGGTGGCTGTGGGTTTGCGAAGGGCGTCCTGCCCCAGGCAGCCCCACGGGAAGTGCCGACGGCTCCGAGCATCCAAGCCGGAACCAGCCACGTGCCCACCAGAGGAGCTGGCAGTGTCAGCCTTTTGGCTTTTGGAAAGACCACCCCATCTACCTGCAGGACAGCACGGAGACCCCGGCCATGCCGCAGCCCTGACCAGCGTCCCACCTCGTCTCGCAGCCAGGACACCCGCTCCCAGGCAAGGCTGAGCCACCTTCACAGCCCAGGTCCCAGGGCAAGACCTCTGTGGAAAACAGCCCCCACGCCGGCATCCATGGGCAGTGCCAGAGCCAAGAATAAGCTCGGCAGAGCAGAAAAAAGCCTAAAAAAAAAAAAGCCTAAAAAAACCCCCACAAACACATACCTTAGTCCCAAAGAAACTCATTCAGCACGAGGAGGCAGGTTGTGGAGGGACGGAGTGGAAATGTGGTGAGTTCGCTATATATACCAACTATCACAGTGTTTTTTTGAAGTTGGTTGCTTAGTGTGTCTTAATTGCCAAGAAACGCTGAAAGTAAATGCTGCGTTCCCAGAACAGCCACCTGCTGCACTCCAGGGAATCGAATACATCAACACCGGCGGGCTGAAAGTTTCACACAGCTTCACACAGATCCTTCCCTCTCTGCTGCCATCCCGTACCAAAGGACGCCAAACGTCTGCTTGGAGATGCGGTGGACCAGGAGCGGTGGGCATCCATGAGCTCTACCTCATTTCAGCAGCGCAACGCACGCGAGTCCCCTTTCAAGCCTAGGAGACGGGACTGTGCAGGCAACAGAGATGGATTTTAGCTCCTTCCATGTTCTCTGAACTACAGGGAAGCTGGGGACCGAGGGAAACCAGTCCTCTCGTTCCCAGGCACCAGCCTGAAGGAGGCAACTTAAGGTCCCATCTCCAGTTTTGCCCTGGAAGGGGTGGCCCGGGAAGGGGAAGAAAAACCTATCCCACGTGTCTTGAGGTAACACTTTGGAGGGATGGGGCTTCCTTCAACACCCGGATTAAACTGGGTGATTATTCTCACAGAATCACACACAGAATCATTAAGGTTGGAAAAGGCCTTTAAGATCATCAAGTCCAACCATCAACCCAACACCACCATGCCCACTAAACCGTGTCCTGTTCTCCTGCCTATTGTCAGTGTGAAGCACAAGATCACAAGCCCCCAGCTGATTGCTGCACATGGTTTGGTCTTTGGTTTGATGACCAGTGGTCACCTTGCCCGTGACCATCACGTACAAGACCTCTTCACACCGCCTCCACGAGGAGACAAGCATGCCGTCAGCTCCTGCCTTCCCCTCCGTCCTCAACGCTTACAGGTCTGCGTTCCCCATAAAGAGCAGAGGTGGCTTCGCCACCCAAGAGCAGAAAAGCACGAGGGTTTTAAGAGGCAACCAGGCTAATTAAAGATATCTCTTTGGACAAGAGTCTTGATTCCACAAAACGAGCACAAACTGGGAAATCATCTCCAGCGACAGCCCTTGTGTTCAATGAACGCAGCCGGAGAGTCCTCCGGCATCTGAAGGGAGGTTGGCGAGAGACCTTCAAGCATCCCCAGCACGTGGACATGCTTGATGCTCCCACACGTGGAGATGCTTGATGCTCCCACATGTGGAGATGCTCTCCCAAGTGCCAAGGAGAGCTTGAGCTGAAGGCACGGGGCTGGCCGGATGACTCTGAGCGGCGCAAAGGCAGCGGCACGGCTGAGTCATGTGTCCCCGCTCCTGGCATCGCAGGCCAGGTCTTTCATGGTGCCTGCGAGATGACATCATCAGGCAGAACATCTAAACGTCACCCATCTTCATGTCACTTCTCGGCCTGTGGTTTGTCGTCCCTCCCTCCCCCATCCCCTCCGAGGCTGATTCAGAAAGGGTTTTTTTAATTCCTGTTAAGCTCAGCAAGACAAAATAATTGTGTTTGGGAACAAATGTGACAGCTAGAAGGAACAGCGAGCAGAAACCTTTCTGTCGGCATCAGCTGGTGCCGCAGCCCCCCCACTAGACGCGGCTGGGGCTGGTCCTGGAGGAGGAGACCCACTTCCTAAGCCGGGTCTGACGGTTGGGACATGTCGCTAGCCCGGTGTGGAGGACACGGGCAGTGTGGTGGGATGCAACACACTAACCTCCACTGGAACCGCAGCAGCGGAGCGCCAGGCGACCTGCCGCTCAAGGCCGACGTCCACAGAATCACAGAATCGTTAAGGTTGGAAAGGACCTTTGAGATCATCAAGTCCAACCGCCAGCCCAACACCACCATGCCCACTAAACCGTGTCCCCAAGCGCCACATCTACGCGTTTTTTTGAACACTTCCAGTGATGGTGACGGTAGTCCAGTGCCTATCGTGCCAATTAAAAAGAAGCTAAAAATAGCAGAGGAGAAGCAAAAGGAAAAATAAAACCACCACACGTTTGTATTGTAAACAGAGCTTTGGAATCAAAACTGCTGGACTGAAACGTTACTGACAGAAAGAGAAATTGTACTGAAAAGTACAGTCAGGTCAAAGAGATGACACCTATCAAGGCTGGAAAGCTCATTAGTCTCACCCAGGCTGCTGAGTAAAGTTAATTGCACACCATGGTAAGGGGAGTTTTGCCCCTACAACCTCCCCGCTGGCAGCAAGGAGATCCGCTGCAGGACACCCTAAGGTGATGCCCATTGATTCACCAGCTCCTTGGCCAAGCGCTCTAAGGCTGCCCAACTGGTCCAAGTATGTGAAAAATGAGACCACCTAATTTCCCAGGAATTGTGATGATTTTTATTTGGCTTACATGACTTAATGCCCTTCAGCTCCTCATTTTGTGCTGCATCCGACCCTGGTGCCTGTATCCATCTGTCACACCCCCACGCTCTGCTTACCTGCTCCCTCCCAGACCAGCTGATAAGGCGTCTTACACTACGTACAACTGCACTTATAAAATGAAACCTCCATGTTTTTTCTCCAGGTGTTGCTAGCCCAAAGCCTTTCCCCCTGTAGCCAAAAGGTTTTTCTTAGGCGCAGAGCTAAATGCTCTTCCACAGACTGTGGAGTTTGGATTCATGACACCAATTTTATCACAGTCGGCACCTTGCCCAACTCGAACTGCTACAGAAGGAGATGGTGACTACAGCTTCTCCACATGAGATGTTGAACAGTCAATAAAGCACCACAAAAACCATCCTTAGGGGTTCCCGGTCCACGTTGTGCACACCCTGACCACAAAACCAAGCCCAAGACGTGCATCTGCCTGGGAAGACACACCCAAGTGGGGCCTCTTGCTGTTGCAGCAGCACTGCATGACCAAGGTGATGACCAAGGCCATGCTGCTCAGAGCCAATGTGGGCAACCTCTGGATGAGAACTGCGGTGCCAGCAGCACGCACAGCACCCGGTCCCCGACACGGCATACCCCTCAGCCCCTTCCCTGCGGGAAGGGGATTTTCAAAGGAATACACATCCAGTTGGCGGGTATGCCGGGAAGAAAGCTTTTGGGATCAAGCCAACATTTTACTTAGTGCTACGAGATAATTCAAACAGCTGCTGAGGGTCAATTCCCTTGCGCTCCATTAGCCTGGTTAGCGGCAGCCTCGTCCCGCTGAAGCAGTGGGCTAGGGACCACACTCAAGAGCTCCTTGTGCACTGTCTGCATCTCAGAGAGGATGGGTTTGTCCCCTGTTCACCCATGGCCGGGGATGGCACAACCACGGAGTCCTCCTGTCCTCTTACCAGTGGGTAGGGAGTGAGAGGAATGGGTCTGTCCCGTCCTCCAGCTCTTGGCTCCTTTAGCGCATGCAAGGAAAATAAAAATACGCCACCCTCCAGCCGCGGGAGCATGGCAGCGCGCTCCTCAGTGCCCACAGCGCACGGGCTACAAGCAGCCACGCACATCTGCTGAGCGGGACGTCCCGGTGCAGCAGGGACACCCAAAGCCAGCAAGGACAGTCGTAGGATCACAGGCTGGTTTGGGTCGGAAGGGACCTTTGAAGAACATCTAGTCCAGCGCCATGCCATGGGCAAGGACATCTGTCACAAGATCAGGTTGCTCAAAGCTGCGTCCAACCTGACCTTGAACACTTCCAATGACGAGGCATCCACAACTTCCCTGGGCAACCCGTGCCAGTGTCCCAACACCCTCATTGTAAAAAATTTCTTCTTCATGTCCAACCTAAACCTACCTTCTTCCAGCTTAAAACTGTTGCCCCTTGATCTGTCACTACAAGTCTTGGTTAAAAGTCTATCCTAATCTTTCTTGTCCCCCTTATATATAGGAAGGCCACAATGAGGTCTTCCCGCAGCCTTCTCTGCTCCAGGCTGAGCCCCCCCAGCTCTCCCAGCCTGTCCTCCCAGCAGAGCTGTTCCAGCCCTCGCAGCGTTGCTGGGGCCTCCTCTGGCCCCGCTCCAGCAGGTCCGTGTCTCTCCTGTGCCGAGGGCTCCGCGCCGCCCGGCAGGGGGTTCTCCCCAGAGCGGGGCAGAGGGGCAGGATCCCCTCCCTTGCCCCGCTGGCCAAGCGGCTTTGGGGGCAGCCCAGGACACGGGTGGCTTCTGGGCTGCAAGCGCACGTTGCCGGCTCATGTCCGGCTTTTCACCCACCTCCAGGTCCTTCTCCATGGGGCTGCTCTCCATCCCTTCACCCCCAGCCTGTGCTGATACCAGGGGTTGCCCCGAGCCAGGTGCCGGACCCTGCACTTGGCCATGTTGAACATCATAAGATTTGCATGGGTCTGTCCAGTCCTCCAGTCTGTCACGGTCCCTCTGGATGGCATCCCTTCCCTCAAGCAAATCAACTGCACCGCTCGGCTTGGTGTCATCTCTGCAAACTCTCTGAGGGTGTAATCCCACTGTCTACGTCATGACCCCTCCCCTCCTCTCTTGCTGTAGGAATTACCTTTCTCATTTGTAAGGAGATGGCTTCTGAAACCAAGCAAATAACAAGATCATCTGCAGTTTCTTCTCAGGGCCTCCCAGTATCAAATACAGCACGTACTTATGAGATTTCTGGTAAGGAGGAAAGACCAGTGTCTGCAACGAGTTCATTCAGGATTTGCCAGCCGGTTGCTGTCTGTCTGCAGCTGAACTGATCTAACCCCTCATCCACCCAGCTCCCAAGAGTCTCCTTCCCCATCCCATCGTCCTGCCCTCTCCACAACGCAGTCCGTGAAATGCCTGGCTTGAGGACCGTTGACCTTAATATACTTCTTGAAGGGGGCCACAGGTGTTGAGAGCACAAGCTGCCCTGGAGAACGTTTTTCCATTGGACTGACCTGCCCAGCCCTCACTCCTGGCCCCTAGAAAGAGCCAACCTTTCAAGTGAAACCCAGAGAGCAGCTTCCTGTGCAACTCAGGATCCAAGAAGTGGCTTATCTTGACCCACCTAGAAACACGCCCCGTCACAGAATCACTGAATCATTAAGGTTGGAAAAGACCTTTAAGACCATCAAGTCCAACCATCAACCCAACACCACCACGCCCAGTAAACCATATCCTGAAGTGTATCCTGAAGTCGCAAGCAGGACCTCACAACATCTAACTGTCACATGGGACCAGCATTTCAGGCACCCAAATCTGAAGCACCCTCAGCTTACAGCAGACTGAGAAGGGGCTGGGACCACTTTGAAGGTGGCAAGATCCTTTCACACCTGTCACGCGCCTTGCCAGAGGTCGGCATTTTGAGATCCGCAGTCAAACGTAGCCCCCATCACCAAGCAGAAAGCACCGACGAGGAAAGGACCAGTTGCAAAGCACAGAACGATTAACACACCGGCGCCGTGCGCACAGCCTCAGGAGGACCAGAAGAGCATCCACCTCCGCTCGGGGAGGAACGAGGACCAGCCTTGTAGCAGAGCACAGAGGGAGGAGACACCAGCACGGGCAAACCACAGGAGGAGGAAATCCACACAACTTCAGGACTTACCTCCACCCACTTCCCGTTGACCTCCATGAAGAGGACGCAGAAGGGGTCAGATTTGGAAGTGACATCCCTGTCCAGAAGATTTTGGCCACAGATGGACAACTCGACTTTGCAGACGCAGTACTGGGAGCCGATGGGCCCCGCCGGCGTGGAAGTCACGGTGTACGCCATGGACGCCAGCGGCAGCAGCTGCAGGCAGTCTGCGGGATACAAGAACGGAGAGAAACCTCAGTGCAAGCAGAAAAGCAGAAAACGCTCTATGGGCCCCGGTGGGTTGGGCACAGACAGAGGGGCCACATCCAGAGCTTCATGCTCGAAGTCACACTCAGTAAGTTATGAGGTTCTCCTGGCTCCAGAGCATCTGCCCTGCCCAGTCACCATCCCCATGTGGCCATCACACCAGGCAGACGTCCTGAGTGGGAGCCCAGCAGAGCACCTACAACCTGCCTTGGTTTTGCTCCATAAATAACAGTTTTTCAAGGAGAGGTAACGTCTTCTGCTCAGCCCCCGCAACAGAGTGGAGGGTCCCCAACCTCTTCTTCCAGCATGCTGGGGGTTTTTTTGTGGGGAGGAACTACACCTCCACACCATCTTTCAGCACGAAAACTGGTCATTGTCTGGCTGGTCCCAAGCCATGGACCATGGACCTAAGCTGTGAGGGCCAAGCTTGAGCTCTGCCCCTCCAAATCATCACGGGGAAAGGAGTGAGACCATGAGGTCTCATGGTAGGGTGGAGGGCAGCTCCAGCCCTGGCTCAGCCCTATCTCCACCCAGTCATCAGGCCAGCAGAAAAGAAATGGCTCTGGCAGCAATTAAAAGGCAGCAATAGTTGGTTCACAGAAGAGCAAGGCAAATATGACCACCACTGCATGACCTGGTGCATGGGATGATTTACAGGAGCCTGATAAAAAACCTTTTGTCATAAGGAGAGTTTACCAACATTCCACTACCAAAGCCATTTTGTAGAGATAAACGTGTGTTATACCATTATTAGTGCAAAACCCCATCCCACACAACGGTTTTGCCTTCTAATGTGCAGTTCGCTCGGCAAAAGCCACCAAAGGTCTTCAACAGAGAAGAGGAAAGGCGGGGGGGGG